ATATATATATATATATATATATATATATATATAAACAGTACAGATTGAAATTACCTTCAACTCACGAGATCCAATATCAAATTGTGACGCTGCCTTCTTGGCCTCGTTTTTGGTGAGAAGTCCATCATGGTTGGAGTCAAACATTGATAGTATTGTTTCAACAAATCCGCTCGCGCTGCCACTTAAAAAATGAAATTTTTAGCAAGTTGACAATTGATAATGAACAGAATTCGACTAATTTCCCAATTTGTAAATAAGTCAGACAGAATAGTTGCAATTCTTAGTACAAGAAAAATTGAGCTACATTTCCATATTTATGCCAAAAAAGTTGTGTCTGGTTTTATGCGATAGCCTACACTAATGTTGAACCTAAAGAAACTAAGTTTGCGCGTTAATTAGATCGGAATTTAGGTTCCGAAAAGGACAACACTCACCTGTTATTATTGATTACGTTAGGCATTTGAGCATTCCCTCCAAATCTGTAGAAATTTGAGGAAAGAATAGGTTTTAATAGTTGGCAATATAGTTCTATCTATGCGAAAATGAACTACTTATTTACAACAAGGTGCCTGATTCTGATTTAAACTTTTTACGAGTTATTAGGCGGGTCAAAACTTCAAATATAAGCTAGATGGAACCACTAAGCGTACACCTTTTTGCAGAGCTCGAAAACATGGATATTGCAAGTGTGTTCCACTACGAGGCAAAACAATGGGTGTGCATTGAAATGTTAGACGGAATCGATGGGAGAAATTACATTTAAATAATCCAAACAAAGTTATAATCGCGTCTTAAGGCAATCGGTATTGTATTCTAAATCTTCGGCGCTAGTTGTGGTGCTGCAAAAAGAAGGGATAGCATTCGCTCATATTCTGATTTTTTAACAGAGTTGAATAGAGCCCTGAAGATATCTGCTCTCCTCTTCAATTTGTCTATGATATTGCATAATTCTTCAGCATGGTGCATATTTTTAAAGTGGAATTTATATACCTTATAAGCAAATCGAGGTCTAACCAGAATGTCATGAATACCTTGCCACCATCACGCAGCGTCCGGGGTGACACCAGCCTATGCCAGCTTCCGACTCATAATGCAAAATGTACTCAGTGGAGTGAAAGACACGGTCGCATATCTGGACGATATCTTGGTAGTTGGTCGAAATGAGAAATAAATTCAAGGAGTGACTTGAATCTGTCCCTACACTTATCACCGACTATTGTGCCTTCCTGTGGGTGAAGAAGTGGGCATTCTTAGAATTAATGCATTATCCTCGCTACGTTTTTGACTCGCGTGGTCGACATCGTGATCCTGACTGGTTTTGAGTCTTTGTAAACAAGACGTCTTCAGCAGTGGGTGCATTTTTCATTCATTCGTGCTGCTAATTTTTTAATTTGTTTGCATAAAGTTTGTTGCCTTTTGGATCGTTTCATCTGCAAAGGTACCGTTCGATTATACAGGTCCGTTGACCAACAAAATGCTTTTATTGCTAAAATTCGCGTTGTATAATCAAAAATGCTTCTGTCTCTTTATAGACTTTTTTGCTGATAATCACAGTAGCAGATGCTTCAAGTCATGGTGTAAGAGCGGTGATCTCGCATGTTCTTCCAGATGGTTTAAATAAAGCTGGGGTTTCAGCATCCAGTCCGCAGGTACCAACAGAGAAGAACTATGAAAAACTTGCGAAAGAAGCAATACCGTTCACTGAATCTGTCTACACTCGTCTCTTGGCTTTTTTAACAGATTACAATTGTTTATAAAAGATTTTTGGATTCAAAATAGGCATTTCAACAACTCGACTTTTCTTTTTCAGCACTGAGCAATAATCCTAACTAAAATATTAATAAGTTTGGACAAGCTGACAATCATTTCCAGAATATCTATAGAAGAGATGCATAACCAACTTTGCCTACTCTATCTGGAATATCTGGAAATAATGCACACTTCAGAAAAAGACCCGGTGAAGACTATGTGATCACACTTTTCCTTAATCATTCCACCGCTACAAAACATTATCTTTTGACCACTCCTACTTACGGAGAGAGTTTTCATTCCGGCTGTACTCAAGCAGAGTTCTTCAAAGATTTTTAGTCTTAGCATACAGGAATAAGTGTAAAGACTCTAGCCATATAATGGACAAAGGTTAGAAGCCCTATATATAAAACCATTGCCATGGTAATCAACATATGCATCATGCAACAGACATACATATATCAGTCATACATATCAGTCACGATTAGTGCCCTTAAACACACATCCTAGTTACTTAATGTCTCGGAACCACTGATGTTGGTCAATTAGCCGCGAGTCGATTAGTCGTATTTCGAAGAATATTGCAAACGAAGTTCTACTCACATATCACTGACGATCAAACGGCAAAGGAAAGAGATTTATCGAAATACTCAAATGAGTTCTGTTAAAATCAGAAGTTGTGAAAGGCTTGGAGAAATTATTCGAAAGTTCTTACTGACCTATATTATTAGTTACAAGATAGTGAGTGGAAAAGCTTGCAGAAATACTGATGGGAAGAGAAGTTTATAACATCAATCATGACGTGATAAAAAACAGTATAACAAAAGACAGCAAAAGCCATAAAATTTGTGGTCGATGATCTTAAGTTTGCGCCAATCCGTCACTCCAGGATTGCAGAAACTGTGTTCAGTCGTTGAGAAAAGTTATCTTTAAAATTCAAGTAAATGATGCCATTTAGATTAGGCATGGAAACCAAGTGAGGCCAGATAATTCAACGTCAACACCAGTACCTTTCTGCCTTATCTTGGACAATTTCCAACTACAAGCAAGCAAATCAGGTAAAGAGGAGAATCGGATTCACATCCACAGACATTCTGCTTAAAATAGACTTGTCAAAAGCGCGGGAGAATTTGGATGACTCTACAGTTGAAGTCAAATGAGGAAGGAGGAATTTAAAAGAAGGAGATATCTAAGGGAAGATGGGATTTTGAAAATTCTTAAGTTCTTTTCACTGATAATGTTAGTATTTTAATCTAAGTTTTCTTCAAGTTTTAATTGAAAATGGCGTTTAAGTGTGAAATATTATATCGCTTTAGTAAATTTCCAGTGTAGCCAAACAACCCAAGACAAAGTTGGAGATAAAATCAAGATACCCATGAAAAATTACGCAGTGTCCAAGGTTATTCATTGGTTTGGACAAAGAATTCAAAGATCAAACAGTATTTTTTAATCCAAATAGGATAAAATAAAACGTTAACAGTGTCACTCAGTCTGTTCTATCACAGTTTCCATGCTCATAATTTCGAAAGCATAAATGAATTGCTCTTTCATCAAATAAATAGCGACTCTTCATAGGTGACAGTCTCTAGCTTCTCCACTTTACTCCCTCAATTAAAATTAAGTCTTCAGGACACAGTCAATAGGTTTTCCACTCCTCATTTGGTTGTGAAAGAGCTAATCACTAAGCAGCTTCACTATGGTGTTTTCGACTTTCAATTTATAACTCCAAACATTTATTAATAGGCAACCGATTTTATTCTCCCGATATCGCCCAATAAAGCTAAGTGCCTTCTGCATTCATTGTAAAGCACTTTACATTGATAGCTATATTTAATAGAACTCATTCACATTGTCCGCCTTCAATTACCATTTATGATAACTGGTCATTATAATGACATGCAATTCGAAAGTAAGCTCTCTTCGATTAAAACGATTTCGCATGAAAAGTGTATCGCAGTAAGTGACTCAAAATTATTTAACGCGCTATAAAATTGAATGACGCTTGTAGTTAAAGTGGAATTTCTACAATAAGACTACTTTGAAAATAAATAAATTAGAGCCCATTATTTGGTTAGTCGGTGGGATAATGAATGGCTCATTAACTAAGTAAGATCCAGCAATGGTATCTATGGTCTTACATAGTTTTGGTAGCCACATTGATCAATTGACCTAACATAGCCTGCTCCCCGCTAAAAAAGAGGTTTCGTTTTAAAGATGTTTACTAAATATTGGTGTAATTTGGAGGGAGGGGGAGGTATGTTTTTTTAAAAAAAATAAATAAGGTCAGCAATAAGGGTCTGGTTTTTTATGCTAATAATTCAATCATGCCTCACGATATACAACGCTCTATTTATTTCAAATTTCGAAGCAGCAATAAATATTGCAAAAGAAATTAACAAAGATGTGTCGACGGATGGCAGTGGTTTTGGTGCCCCTTTAAAAGACTCCGAAGGAAATTCTAGTAGGCCAATAACGAATCACCAACCAATTAACTTAAGTTAAGGACTGGAAGAATTAAATTTATCCAATACATACTTAAGATATTAAAACGACTGCTGTGATTAAATCAAATACAAAATGCTGTTGTCTCACCTTCCACTACTTCCACCGCCGCCGAGTAAACCCGAAGCCATTTGGGAGGTGAGTTCAGGCACGAACCTACATTTAAAATAAATGAGCAATTAAGCAACTTTCCAAATTCCTTGACCTCATTTAAAGTGATATTTCTAGCAAGGAGAAAATGAAGGAAAACTATACTCTGTGTGAGTTGCCTTCAAGGAATTAAAGTGATTTATTGCAGCTGCATTAATGACAAGTAAGAATCTTGCCTAGTTAATTACTTCGGTAAGTGCTTTATGCAATTAAGTGATTAAGAATGATTCTGTAAACTTGATATTTCAATAGCAGAAATGTAGCAAATTGTTTTCTAAGTTAGATTTTATCAGAGACTCTATCCAAACGGTAACGAGGTAGGGAGAACCGCGAAAGATAAATTGAAAATAACGATGGGGTTAGTAACAAAGTAGGATTTCTAAGTTATACTGGAACATTGCTCCATTTGCAGAGCAATTCAAAATATTAATCACTTCTATAAGGAATAAAAATGGGACTTAATTTAGCAAAGTTTACCCTTTGGTTGCATCGAAAATACCCCTAAATGAGCAGCTAACATGTTAAGAATAAGGGAACCGACAATAAAATTCCTTTTGCCAGGAGAAGGAAGGGAATGTTTGTGAAAATTTAACATTTTCATTCTGAAGTTTGGATTTTACTAAAATACTCACTCATAAGGAAATAACATGTAGAAGATATATTTCTAGTGGATACTAATGATCTAAAGACAGATTGCGACACCTCTAATAGCCAGGCAGTCTCCCCACTGTCTTCTTGCACTTCAATTGATCTTTAACGCATTGGCTGAACGCAATTAAAAGCGATTTTTAGTTAATTTCCGGTTCATTGGTCCTTTCTGTGTTAACCAATCAAGAAGTTTCAATTAGCATACTATCGTCGAATCCATTGTAAATGGTATATGACGGGTGATTGGACCGGTGTTAGTAGTTTAACACTTTAGACCTTTTAGTGAGCAGTTGATCGGCGAACATAGCATTTTCCAAATATTTAACCAACTTTGCCTTAAAAATGTATAAATGAGAGTAATATGTTTGTTTATAGTAATATTATTAGTTTGCACTAAATTTTTGATATTGAAAATAGGAATTGTAGACTTTTCTGAGAATCTTACCCAATATTTCCTCCAGCTTGTGGCGGTCCAGTTACTGTTCTAAAATAATAAAAAAATGCAAACTAGCTTAAAACGAAATAATAATTAATGATTTATACGGTTCCATAAAGTGACTGTCACAGTGTATTAAAATAATAAAAAATAATAATAATAATAAATAAATAGTAGTATTACTACGAGGAGAATTCCCCGATAGTCTCCGAAAGTACCCAATGAAATGCAGTTGCTTTTTGGAATATGTGTAAAGTTAAACTATATAGTATATGTGATAAAACGAAGAATGCATTGAATTGAATTGAACTTTACAAATGCCTCCTTCGGTATACTTTCACCTAAGAAAGCATTACTTGGAACGAATATGGCATTGATCAGTGGAAATTTCATAGTAAATAGCCTATATACACATAAATCGATGATAAACGTCGGATGAAACAGGACATTTACGTGAGTAGATGTCTGATGTTCGATTGGAAATACATTTTTTACCTTGCTAATAATAGGTTATCACCTTTGTACAGAATTGTACTGAATAAGCCTTACCCTTCTCTTTGCTCGTTTTTCTCTTCAAGATCTTGTGGTTCTTCTTCATAGGCTCTGAAGTAAAGGAGGAAGCGACCAGACATGGTTAACCGAAAGCCCTTTCAATCGAAATGCAAATGACCAAATCACGAAGCGTCTTCGATGTTTTATGATTAGGAGGTGAGAATTTCAACCCGCGAAGGCCTTTTAGTGCGTATTTGCACTTTTTAAGTCCCTTATCAAGAATTCTTTATTTCGGATGAATTGCCTCCAGATTTTCAAGAGTAAAAGGCTGTTGCGCATAGAGATGCAAAAGTTCAACAGAGCGAGAACTTTAATTGAGATCAAATGGAAGTTCAAGTCGATGATTTCATCAAAAAAAGTTGCGAAAAATTTGAGAGATATAAGAGAATAAAAATTTAATGTGTTTGATTTAATGACCACAGGAAAGGCTGAACAATAGAAAACAAGCAAAATAATACCTACTACAAATAAAAAGCAATAAAGTATTATTTTTTCTAAATATGCGCATTTGATTATTATGTTATTCATGGCTAATCACATATTAAAAGTAAAAGAACACCCTTTTGTCAGTTCTTAAAAGAATCGTTCTTTTTAGCCTTGAACAACTACTTTGGTTTTTGATTATCACATCAGTAAAACCTAATAGCCAAATCAATTGTCGTTGCTACTCAAATCAAAGAATGATGTCGTAAACTAGGAACTTCTGATAAGTTAAAAATTACTTTTCTCAGCTTACCTGCAATTCGTGGTTTTGAGGATCGTCAAATGATTAAAAATGATAGGTCCGACCTGTCAATAGGATCAACGAAGTGTCCAAATTCTGTCTAACTTGGACACGAAATAACTTAGGATTCACGGTGAGAAGTATTGAAATGACGTACATAGAACTGAGCAGTGGGAACTCTACCCCCCTCCTCCCCCCCCCCCCCCCCCGCCTTTCTGTATATTGACCAAATCGTGACCCCTTCCCATTTGGCACTCAATATGATTGGCTAACGTCTATTACCCGGAGACATCCATTGGTTAATATTTCTAATAAGTATTTTTACGCTTTCATGGGAAAGCAAAAATCATGCAGATAATTATCCATACTCAGATATTCATATTTTACTACAGATAACTGTGTGGTAGATCAATTAGGGCGATAAAGAAAGTTCGTAAAGGTCATCAATCAATTGGTACTTACTCGGATTATTAATAAATTGTACTTGGGAATCGTTCAAGTATAACATTCTTCAAAAGGAGGACAACATGAAAGAATCTCACGAATACACACACACGTCACCACCTATCTCCACATCGACCTACCCCTTCAAGTGTGCAATATCAGACAATTTCCTAACATGAAATATACCTTCCCTCAGTGTTATAAAAATTATAACTTGGCACAACATTAAATGATCACTTATGATAATTAAATTTATTCTACAAATGTGCTATTGGTGCTTAATTTCTTATTTCTATTTTGAATTTCCATTGGTGCTCATTCACCTGATCCATGATTCCTTTGCTATAACATTGGCATTGAGTAAAATAAATATAAATACAAAAACCATATTTTCATTTTTTGAAACCAAGAAACAAACTAAAACTTGACCTGCGGGTTGATTGAGTGAAGTCTCTCCAATGTTCTTTAATTTGTTATTTATATCTCCACGAAACATCTACGTTTTGGAAGTTCATCTATGAATTTGAAAAATGTTAATATGCCTATCAAGGTATTGACCCGTTATAAAATTTTGGCAGTGCGAAATCAAGTGAAATGGAATAGGCGTCAGATCAATGCCAAACCGTTGGATGAAGCTCGAAACAATACATTTCAGGCTCGTGAAACAACATAAGACTAAAAAATAAAGGCGAATGCAAATATCTGCTAGAATTTTATGATTTTCCAACTTTGCTTTGCAATTAAAATTAACTTTTTCTCACCTAGAACTTAGCCCTGTGCTACGCGGTGACTTTAGTATTTGGAGACTTTTAAGTAAAGGATTTTAAAGATCAAGATGATAATTAATAGTAATTTATTTAAAGAATGACTCAAATGGCTCTACCTTCCAAAAAGAGCACCACCGAGACCTGAAGCGATGGCATTTTGAAGGGGTCCCGCATTTCCACCCAGTCCATGGAGAGGGCCAAAAAGTTTGAGCAGAGGAGCGAAGAGATCCATATCTTAACAGCTTTCTACGGTAAGTGGTAATACGAGCAGAAAGTTTTGAGAGTATTAGCGTTTCGCAGTTGAGAGGTCAAACTAAAAGTGCTACTCTTCCGAGGTGCCGCCAGCAGTTTTCATATTCGTTAAAACGTTCGCTATGCACATCTATAGAGAAGTGCACATTTGCAAAAATGTGTGCCACGGATTCTCTTAAAACTCGTCTAGGGAAATATGCAACCAATATTTTCATAAAGCCGTGGAAACAGTCCCTTATGCTCATGAAATGATGGGGGTTCTTTGTCTTTAGAGCGAATCAGTCGTTATTTATGTATACCAGCACCTACTCTCCGTCACTCCTCCGCCTCAGTGACTTCTTTATCCTTGACAGACACATTTGTCAGGAATAACAGTCGGCGTGGTAAATGTCGCTTTTGGCAAATGAAAGCATAGTGGGGGTGGGGTGGGGGGGGGGTGGGTGGACAAACCAAAATTTACTTATTAGTCCAGTTATGAATATTCTTTGCAGTTGGTCTAGCATCATCACTATCGAGGAGGTTCGCATAAAACTTAACGTTCTGTTTCTATCTGTTTTTGCCAAACTAAATAAGTTATAAAAATTGATCAATTTTATTTTGTCTTTGCATTCAAAATTTGCATTGATATTTATGAAAATTTACTTAATAGATTCTAATGCTTTTTTGACTACCCTCGGAATATTAAAAATCTTATGTCGTATATAAGTCTTGAAATCCACATACTACTTAAAAGCTGTCAATAGAAAATATATAAGTATTAAATTATGTAGTTAGACCACAAAAGTAATGAATTTATTCTTCAATGGTAAATTTATAGAGCTTGTTTGCTCTTTGATGTTGCAATGTTTGAATCCATAAGAAAGGAGACATGTTGACGACGCGTTGAGTCGTGTTCAAGGTGAACACTTTCAACGCTTTCGTGAACTATAGAATGTTCACCATGCTGTTTTATTCATTTAAAATTGAAACATGGTATCAGCTAGTTTACCTTTCTGGTAACTGAATCTGTGTGAAACCACCAATGAGACAAATTTTAACCCATATAAATCTTAACATTTTAATCATTTCACTTGTTTGAAGAGGCTAAAAATTGGATAGAGGTGAGAGGACCAAAAAGAAACTCAAATTTTATAGCTAGTTTCTTAGATCACAGGTTTATATTTCTTTCTGAAGGTACCTATTAGCACTCGCTCAATATTTGGTTGCAATTTTATTGGTAGTGAGGAAATTTCCTCAATACTTTCATCGTCTAAAATTGTTTTTCAGCAATAGCGCAGATCTTTTCAGCGAACACCAATTAAACAACTTTTATGGACGTTTTTTGAGACCAAGCTCTATAAAATGAGAAAATTTAAATGACTTTCAAAATTTTGTTGTCAGAGTTGATGAGTCCTGCCACAAACTGCATTTGCCCCTTGCTCCTCTTTTGCGCCCTTTAATATCTCCCATCAAACCATGAAATGGTCTACCATATCTTTCCTCTTTGACGTGCCAGGTCAGTAGGGAAAGGAATAGGCTTATCTTGTCAGATCTCTCAAAACAGCGGCATTTTCCCCAATAAGCTCACACCGTGACTATCTGTCTTTAAATAATCCTTATATACATACATGTATTATCAGAATTAGTTTAAGATAAAATTTTTAACACGCATAATTAATAAAGGAAAAAGTAGGAAAAAGGAAAGTGATATTTTATCGTAGACGAGATGATAATGTTTTATATAGAAGTACAAATGAGAGAATTTTAGCCACCAAGTAATTTAGTCAAACGTATTCTCCCAAAATGGCATTAACTTTAACTTGTCGCTCGTCCCCTAAAGTTCCCTAGATAGGTTCATTTAAATGGGGTAGAAGGTGCCCCGGGCTGTCAGAAAAGCACTTGAGGAACACAGGAGAATTTGGAAAGGGGCATAATGTAGGAAGTCAATTAAATTAAATTATTTTAATCAGTTGGAAGCAGAAGAGGGAAAAACCGGAGAGGAAGAAAGTTTCCCCAAAGAGTTCTACTGATTGGTCAATTTCAGAAAGGTGTATGCAACGGTAGATATATGGATAATAAGAAAGATTAATGTGCTCTGTAACGTACCATTTCCAAGAAATATTATCACTTTTATAGCTATTTTTCTATCTTGGTCGAATTTTATTTAACAGTTACCGCAATCTAAAGCAGGTGTTGGAAATATAGGCAAATTGTTTTAAATTGGGATGATCTAAATCCTATTCGACAAACTGCGCAAACTCCAAAAAGGCTTGCAAATCCAGTACATTTTTGGCTTCTTAATAAGAGATTTAATCTTAGAAAGTGGCATTTCTGATGCGACAGACGTCAGAACCGCCTTCTTTCCAATGATCAAAGCTCTTAGCCTTCTCTCCCATCCACGCGCGGCCTCCTTTGCTGCCCAATTTTATTACCTAGGTGCGTTGTCTTATGGCCAAGTAAGAGCCATATGAGCGATAAAAGACATTTGTCGTAATTCCACCCATTGATTGCAGGGAGAGGAAAGAAAAATGGAGGGAGATTGTCAGAACAAAGGAGTGCAAATTAGTATATATAATCAAGCCAAATTTATATAGGATTAAGATGTGATGATTTCTAACCTATAATGTCAGCGTCACAATAGACATTGGAGGACTTATTTGGCAATAATCCTTCAAGGCTGAAATGTGCCAGGATTTCATGAAAGTAATTTCATTTCCAAATGGAAACTTGAAGGAATGGCAATTAATCCGATTATCATTACTATTAGCCAAAGGGACTTCAAAGCCTTTCTCTATTGTACACATTTTTATAGGACAGCGATCAACTTAATGTGGACTATTATTATTCCTGTGAAGAGATTCACTGTTTCCTGTTCCAATCTCGTTCGCGGTACGTCAATTCTCGAATTAAAAAAGTATTCACGGTGTATAGTCATTTTGTACTTAAATTTGAATTCCAATTAATTCTACAGAGGAGTATTTGTGATTTTATGATTTTTTTGAATTTTATTATATAAAAGGAGCTTTTATTACGTTAACTTTAAGTAAATAAAGAGTTTTGTTGGGAGATTTAGGCAAATGCTCTTTTAAAGCGTTTAGTTTAATCGGCGCCAACTAAAGCCCATTAGATTTGAGGTAGCACTCTACTTTTTGAAAATTTTTGATTTCGCTTTTATAATGTCATAATTTGAAGCCTAAATCTTTAAACTTCAAAGATTTATTTCATTTGAAATGGAACTTTTTCTGACTATTTTAATTTCTTTTAAAATAAATGACTCATAATATATTATAATCGTTTTAATTCGAATTAATTAATAAGCCAGCTCTTTATCCAGGTTTAATTGAAAAAAACAACTATTAACAAAAGTTAAAATTTAAAACACTTTCCAGAGTTAAAGTTCAGAAACCAACTATGAGGATTTGCATTCACAAATGTACACGCTCAAGTCGATACGTCGACAATCAAGAAACTTATTCTTTGATGATGGCCTGAGATACCTTGGAAATTGTTGAAAATACTATTTTTTCAAAATCCCATATCCTCTTTTGGGATATGTTTATATAAAAGACAACCTCGGTCAGTATAAGTATTTGACCTTGGAAATAGGAAACTGCTATTCAGTAGTCGTGCACATTGGATATTGACGTGAACTTGTTCGTACTTTCTTTAATGATGTCAGGTCCTTTGTACTTTATTTAATTCAATAAATAGATGCAAGGAGCAATTATGACTCAAAAAGTTATATTTGACCTCATCAATAATCAAGTGTTTGAGTAAATAGATAAATCCCAATATGAAATGAGCCGGGTCAAACACAAAATTATTACGTAACTTCTTAATAAACCGTGTTCCGTTTCACTTATGGGGAGTCCTTTTTCCTTTGCCTTCCCCAGTTCTGAATTTTAGTCTCCATCTACTGTGCTAATAAATATCTTCAACAAGTCCCATGTTAACTCGTGTCCTGGTTACTCATTTCCACATTAGCCACCGTTAATCATTTAAAACACCGAAAGAGCATATGAAGCGCTCTTGAACATGCCCCCTCCCCATCTTGTTTTGACTACCTATCGGACTCAAATTTAGCCAGTTGGATGTATTTTGCATCCCTTGAAATCTCTGCTCAAAATTCAGTTTCTATATCTGCTTACCACTGTTACTAATATTTATATGTTATTGCATAAAGCAGTAGAAGTAATTTTTAGGAATGATCGACAATAACTTCAATATGATTTCGTACAAATTTAAATCCCTGATTCTGTGAATGAGCCATTCTATTGGTGTTGTCCAGAATTTGGCCAAGTTGGAAGCCGCAGCATGGAAGATCTCATTGATAAAAATCGGTCTAAAGCCAGTGGTATTGAAAGGCCAACTGAACAAGTCACTTCAGGTGAGTAAGATGAGTAATTAAAATGCCAGTCCATTTGAAGATGGTCGGCATGATAACTCTCTCTCTTTCTCTCTCTCTCATAAAGTGCTCAACTTCACTTTAATTACCGGCTTGAGAAATTTGCCGGTGAACAAATTTTCTCAAGCATTAATAAATTTTTCCACTTAAACCCACGTATTCAGTCGAATGCAGTCTGGCCTCCTGTCCATGAATGTCTCAGTATATTCGCAGGAAAGAGATTTTGAATTTGTTTTTACTAATATTGGTATATATGACCACAACTCATTCTTGTGAAAAAATCTCTCATAAAACCCGAAACACGCATTCACTTAACTGCATGGTCGTGTTTCAAATCGATTTCAACCCCCCCCCCCGGTCAAATATGCTTCAATTTGAGAGAATCATTTTCGAGACTTCACCCCCCACCCAATTTTCCATACCTAACAAGAAATCTATCAAGTGATTCTCGCTCAAATTGCGTATTTTATTTTCACTTTCGTATTTATTTAAATGTCGATAACAATTAAAGAAATAATCTGCTAATAAAATGCCGTTAAAGGTATAACTTCCACTTCAGTCAGTTAATGAATGCATAAATTAAATGCATAATTAATTTTTCATTAAAAATCTTCAAAGTAAAATCAAAATCAGCATATACAATTCAGACGTTTTTCTTAATGACTGCTTTGGGAGGAGGGTGGACTTTTCGTCAAAATAATGGCATTTAATTTCCATCAAAATGCGATGAGCAGGAAGTCGACGTGAGAGGACTATCATCAAAGGTGTCTTGCAGCCAATTTCTAAGTTTTGCTGCGTTATGAGGACTCACTAGTCTCTGCATTGGCGGTTGAGGTGGAAATTGTATTTGGGAAGAATGGGAGGAGCCGGCTCGTGTCTTGCTTTGGTTCATGGAACTGTTCAATGGGAGTTGGGTGAATGACTTCGCTGAAGTAAGTTGAGAATGAGACGGAGGGGAGATTAGAACTGAATTCATCGATTCTACTTAAAGGAACAACAAAGGTGCTTAGGCAATCGTTTCAAGTTGTTTAATTGAAAATGAATTTGAGCTCCGATATGTTGGACTAAGCATCGATGATATAGAACTTTTGCCACGTTATATACCTTACAAAAAAAGGTTTTCATCAGTCGGGCTTCCTGTCGCATACACTCTTCACGTGAATAATGAGATGCCAATTTGAAATGCTGGAAGTTATTTCCCTTTAAGATGTTTAATAAGAATCGAGACTTTAAATCTTGTCTACCTAATCTCTGACATAATATTTGGTGGATCAAAGTTAAACTTTCTAGAATCAACCTTTAAGGCGTTAATTTGACAAATATCCAACAATCTTAGCAATAGATCACTATTGGTCAAATAGGGAATGCTTAAATTACTATCTTTGCATGATCGGATTGCCATCGATTAATACAAAATGAAAAAGAGACATTTGCTATGATTTAAATTTTCCAAGGAACATAATGTATTAGAATGGGTATTTTGCTCGATTCCTCTAGATCTTATGCTTGATCATCTAAACTTGGCCAAAATAAATGAGTTCTCATGAGCTCTTTCATGCAAGATCTCCTATTTACTCTTGGTTATAAGAAAATAAAACCAATTCGCTTGAAGGATCAGACCGACCGCTCGACTTAATGAATTTGTAAATGAAATTTGAAGATTCTAGATAACAATTTACTCAACACCTTAACGCATTATTTGATCTCTGGGCTATTAGAACCTCGTTCTAGTCTTTCAGGGGATTTCCTAACCTCCTCGCTTATGATTGACCTATCTAGTATATCAGGCATTTTGGCATTTTATCAATAAAATATGAGAAGGCTTTTTAAATGCCTCACAAAAATTTTAAAAAATATTAGTGTCTAAACAAATTAATAAAATATTTTGTTTTGAGCAACTTAATTGAATAAAGAACGATCTTTCAATCCGCGAAATACAATTGTAAATAACATAAAACCCTGAATTAATCTCCAACCCTTAAAAACTGTCATTTCTTCACCGTTTCGAAGCGTTTTCAAGATTGAATACCATATAAAAAAACCATAGATATCGAACCATCAGGGATATTTCATAAGATCTATTAATTGTGCCTGTTAATCTACTAATGGTTAATCTACACGGTTAGTTTGGGATTCGCATACCACTGCGTATGTCCAATTAACCTCAGAATCATGTTCTGCCGTGTCCTTAAACAGGGGTAAACCGCATTTCCTCGACCTGGATTACGCAGTTTATGTTCATTTCACACGCACATACATCCCAACAAAAAATGGTAATTAACCTCTTGAATATCTGGTGTCTTTCAAAGCTTCTCTCGGATAATTTACAACTCACCTTTGATGACTGGATTGATGGTTTGAAATCGAATGAAATTCACATCATTTGCTGCCTTTGCACTTCTTTTGGAAGGGTAGAGCAGTTGAATACTCTTGAGATTAAACCAGAGGACTAGGGTGGCTCCTATTCCAACCATCTCAATGGAGACAACTCTGAGCACTCGAATGTACATTTCACCAGGTGTGTTGTTAATATGTCGCCATAGATCACAAATCACCCCTAGTAGCAAAGGACCAGCCACAAGAATAATAGTAAAAATGACTCTGTTAATAGCCTTCAATAAACGTCGCCTATTTGCAGGAGTACGCATAGCCTTTATTGTTACATTTGACGCCATGGGTCGAAAACTTTTGAGCTCACTGTGCATCCGCAGCAGATATGTAAGTGTTAACGAAATTAAAACAACTCCAATCAGAATAAAGCACACCTCGGGTAGAATAGAAAAAAGAAAATACGTGAGTTTGTTAGTATTTCCAATGTAACATGAGTTCGTCAGTTCATCTACGTCAACCTTTTGGAATATGAGAAAGAATGTTGGCGGAAAAAGAGGTAGGACCCAAGCGATAACATGAAACCATCGTTCTAGACCTTGAATAGCTTCAGGAGCCCAGCTCTTGCAAGCAGAAAGAAACCAAGAGAGAGATAAAATCACGAACCAAATTTCAATTGCTGTTCGAGCATAATATGCCAGAGCAAACTGTCCCATGCAGGCAATGTTTATGAGTCGGTGATCCGCTGTAATATCCTTAACATTTTGTCTAAAAAGTAATTGAGGTAGATACGAGGACATTTCCAGCATACAGGCTTGCGGTAGGAAGGCAAGTGGTCTCAGAGGGTGGGCGAATCTATTTCGATTACAGGTATAAAGACTGACAGAGATAAGACAAAATATAGCATTGAGAGAAACAGCCCCAACAAGAATATATTTCGCGATTATCTTTTGCTCGACTGTAAATTCACCCGAGGAAGAAGAATTTAGATGTTCTGAAGTTTTAGTTACTGTTTCATTGACTACTAAAGTTGATACTTCAGTTAAATGGTTATCAGATTCAAAAGAATGTGGTCTAATACACATTTCATCATCTGAAGGAAGTCGAGAACAATTCAATTCTTCAGGCCAAGGAAAGTTGAAACTAAACATTAACGGAACGCATCGATATCTAACGTGATTACAGAAAGATGCACAGGGCTTAAGCAATACCTGTTCACCCATACTTTCAGTACACATTGGAAAGTAGACAGAGCAGAGAAAGAACTCCAGATAGCTCGAACAGCCTAGTTTCAACAAAGGAGCATAATCATGGATTCGCTTTGCGGATTCCGATTGGCTAGTAAGCCCGATAATATTCGGGAGATAAGTGTGCGTATATTCTAGACCAAGGCATGATGGCTCTTCAATTGGAAGGCACTGACTAACTGGGTTCTCGTGATTCGATTTGAGGGGGTATTCTGATTCCAGAAAGGTCCAGTTCGTTATAGCGCTTGAGGTAGAAAAAAGGAATAAAAGAAGAAGCACGAAGGAAATTGTGCGCATTGTACCGCAGTAGTCTGGAAGTGGTGAGGTAGAGGGAGAGAGAGCGAATTTTACGAGTTCAGTCTGGCGTTAGTGGGCAAGGGGAGAGGAAATGCGCGAGATAGAGAGTTTTTATGACTGACTGTCGCGGCAATAGCAAGGGTAAGGGCAGGGGAGCCGCAATAAAATTCTGTGTCGGCGCTGAGTCAACAGCCAGTTACAATTCGTCCATCTAGCTGCCTTTTCACTGGCCAACTGCGCAGCCATGCAGCTGTGCGCACACGTGAGTTGACCTCTAGTACAACCAATAGGAGGTCATTTTGACGCCATGGCCTTAATTAAACCTAATGAAGAAATTAAATTGTGGACTAAGTGCCCATTGGGATTGAAGGCGGATAAAGTGCATAGTATATTTGATATAAAGTTCACATGAAACATAATTTATGTTGGTTTTAATAGGTGAAAGTTAACATCAAAAAGGTTCGATAAATGGAAACTAGCATAGTGAAGCAAGTATTTACTTTAAGGCAGTTTGACGTTTTTAACTGAAATGAAAATTTCAATTATAAGGAAGATAAATTAAGCTTTAATTTCCTCAGTGATGAAGATTTAAATATAGCTCCAATATAGCTCAATTTCTTTCCCAACATTCCAAACACACTTGAGCTCTTTTAATTATTATAATATATAAACCATAATATATATAAAATTGACACTCTGGGATCCGCATTTTTCCTTCGTCTTCACTTTTATCGTTATGCAATATAGTTTAATTCAAAAGTCCCTCCAACATTACAGGTGGAATTTTGTCATCAAATGATTCATTCATAATGCATTACCCTCTTTCTGAAATTCTTGTTTTTAAATCAAAATCACTTTTTCACAACATTTTTTTAGAAGAAAACCTGCTCTAGATTATAATCTTTAATTCCAAAATAAATCACCCAATTTTGTAGTTATATTCTACAGCTCCGGGGAATATCGAGTGAAATTTTAATAATTCTTCGTTAAATAGGAATGAAATGAAATCCGCTTTGGCACGGATCTGTCACAAATTTCCAAACTTCGAGAAAGATTTATTCTTATTTTAAATTCCATCACTGTATTCATATAAAGGAAAACTTATCAATTCAAAATAAAATGGAACTCTTTTAACAAAAATATTTGAAGTAAATCGAGAATAACTAAGTTAACTTGCACGCATGTTTGCTGTCGATGAACATATTATTTAATCAATGAATTAAATTAGCTCACCACATTTAAATCAATGCATGTAATATAGATTCTAAAGCATGAGCAAAGAACAAAAGTTAATAGTTCCGGAAAAAAATTTACTAAAATATGACAACCCTATCCGAGTTTCACTAGAGGATTTCCTTAAAACCAAGAAAGTAGAATCGACACCTTTCGATCTACGGAAATTCTGTGAGACCACTTCATCAGAAAATGTTCTTTACAGCATAATGCCACCTCGTAGGATGGAGATAAAAGGTGAACACTTCATTCAGGAGGTCTCGTCCACCCCAGCAACTAGAGCAGAAGTGGTTCAACTCACCAAACAACTGGATGAATTGCTTGAAGCTCGTGGAGCAAAAATGACCGGCATTTGTCCAGTGAGGAGAGAACTCTTTACTCAAGCAAGTAAAATTAGCACTGTCAAACCAGTTTAATACTACATTTTTATATTCCATTTCTACTTATTTTTAAAATGATTAAATATTCCGAACCAAACTTTTACATCTTGGTACATCTAAATGATTCACTTTGCATTAAGATAGATAACAGGTAGTTGTGTCAAAATTGAAACATATGTATGAAAATTCATAATTGACAAGATCCTTTATTTGTTTATAGTATTTTAAGTTTCATAATTATAAAGAAATTTTGCATTATTTAGGGTCAATAAACGTAAACTCCTATAAGTTTTAGAAATTGCCTTGAGTGACCAAAATTTATATTTTTTAATATGCTCCTCTATAAATTAGAAGAAAATTATCTCGGATGCCAAAGTAGATTAAAATTGCGCAAAATATGAAGTTGTATTAGTAGTAGAAATTGGTTAAATATGGAAATTTATAGAGCTGAGTGTAAATGTTTTGAAGTGGGAAGAAAGTTAAGTTTTATCTTTTAGGGAATTCTTGATTTCAAGCAGGTACGTTCCTTAGAACTTCCATAAGCAGAGATATCTAAGAGTGCTAAGTTTCCTGATCACAAATCAGTTCCAATTTATTTGAAGACAGAGAGAAAGGCATAAGTTACTATGACTGAATATTGGCGTATAGTCTATACTCACGGCTTCAAAGCGATCAATTTTGAGCAACCCGGCGAATACTACATCAAATTTTTTAAAGTTTCTGTATTTACTGGGTGGGCAACTAAGTCATTGCCGTTTTTGTTGACGGATTCACTCTATACTTTCTTTTGTTTTGTTAACGTGGCCAGAGCATCTAACCTATATTTTTTTCTTACTGTATGGGATTCTAGGTTAATTAGTAAAAAATTTTTTTGTTTAGTTCTTTAGTTTTGTTTTTATCCCAATTTACAAATGAAAGAACAGGACGTGCACTTCCGACACACTTTATTGTATTGCTTCCGAAAAGGCAAGAACGCATCGCAAGCACAAAAGAAGTTATGTGCCGTATATGGAGATGAAGCCGCCTTAAAAGAAAGGCAGTGTCGAAATTGGTTTGAAAGATTTCGTTCCGGTGATTTTTCACTGAAAAATTCACAACGATCTGGCCCCCCAGTCGAAGTGGATGAAACCCATATCAAGGCCATTATCGATTCAAATCGTAACAGAACAGCACAACACGAGATATTGCAGAGAAGCTCAATGTGTCGCATACATGCATTGAAAACAAATGAAAAACCCTTGGTTATGTCAAGAAACTTGATTTATGCATCCCTCACCAGTTAAAGGAAATTCATTTGACGCAACGGATTAGCATCTGTGATTCGCCGCTACTGAAACGCAATGAGAATGAGAATGATCCATTTCTGAAGAACCTAGTTACTGGCGACGAAAAGTGGATAGTTTATAACAATGTTACTGGCAAGAGATCATGGGTGAAGCAAGATCAACCAGCCCAAACAGTATCAAAAGCAGCAGAGATTCACCAAAAAAAGATTATGCTGTCAGTCTGGTGGGGGGATCACAAAGGAACTTTGTATTTTGAACTCATGCCGCAGAACCAAACGATAAATTCAAATGTGTATGTTGGAGAACTCGAAAAACTGAAGGATGCAATTGAAGATAAGTGGCCGGCATTATCAAATCGGCGGAAGGGTGTTGTTTTCCATCATGACAACGCAAGGCCCCACACATCTTTGGTTACTCGGCAAAAATTATTGCAACTGGGTTGGGATGTTTTGTTTTGTTTTGTCACACCCACCATATAGCCCTCACCTTGCGCCTTCGGATTACCATTTGTTTCGTTCCATGCAAAACTCTTTAAATGGTAAAATTGTTAACAACGCGGATGATGTCGGATCACACCTAATTCAGTTTTTTAATAGCAAAGACCAGACATTTTACGAACGGGGAATTTTTACTCTGCCAGAAGGATGGAAAAAGGTCATCGACAAGAACGGCCAATATCTAATTGAATAAAGTTATATTTTTAAACAAAAATTCCGAATTTGCCTTCTTATTTGAAATCGGCAATGACTTAGTTGCCCACCTAATAGAATGTCCTGTTCTCTTTAGCTTAAGTAACAATGATTTTAGATCCGTCCTGTAGCCACCACATAAACCTCTTTCCTTGTAGCATATACCGTGTTAGCGAAATGGCCAGCAGCACTGTTTCAGTCTAATTAATGTGGAGGCCAGAAGGATTCAGATCCCTTACAAGGGTTATACTCGATACTACTCTCTACCAAAGACGAGCGTTAGAAAACCCTTTTCTCAATGAGTTGGGCAATTACTATATGGAACAAACGTATATATTGATATAATGGATATTTTAAAGTGGATATAAAATTTCCCAACTAAACAAGAAAAAATATATTTGTGAAGCGTTCGCTTATTGCATATTATTATGCAATTCAATCAAATCGGAATTAGTCGATAAGTCGACTACTGCGTATACACTGTGCTTTTATTTTCGTTGCCTAACCCATGCATAAATTAATTATACCAACTGATAGAAATCAGCAATCATATGTCGAGCGTTATTTATGTTCTTGTGTTATTTTTCCAGGTGTTCGATGAGATAATCCGACAGTTAACAATCGAATGTACCGAGCAGGGTCTCCTGCTTCTTAGAGTTCGAAACGAAATTCAAGCAACCATTTCCGCTCTCCAATCCATCTATTTGTCAGGTGTCGTTTTTGGTGCTCAAAAATCACTCGCACGCGAAGCCGATCGTAGGGATCAGTCCACAAAAATAGGCCAATTGGAGGCAGAAATTGCAGAACTGGAAAAGAATATTGAGATTGAAAAGCTGAAATGTAAAAGTATGGAAGATAAAGCTGCTAGCCGATTGGCCTCATTCACTCGTAGAGCTGAAGAAGATATCAATTTTCTTCGAAAAACCCATGATCAACTGAAGAGTCAATTGGAGGATGTGTTGAATCAATTTAAAACCATTGCCGTTGACTAAGAACAGACAGGACTCAACATTCCTGCTGTTAATTACTAATTGTCATATATGGTTCATAAAAATGGGGAATAAATGGTAAGGGGGTAATAAATTAATTCTCCTTTGAGTTGAGGATGTATGTAGTAATATGATGAGTCAAATGAATGGAACTTATTTTGCTCAATTTATAAAAGATTTTTCCCATAATTTGTTGATATTTTTTTCTGTTACTAAGTTAGGTAAATAAGGGCGGCCCCTTTTTGATACTATAAACAGGAAATGGCTTTTAATTACTTGAGCATAATAGAAGTCTTCAAAATAGTTCTAAAACGTGTGGTAATCCGACATTTTGTTTTATTATTTGACCGTGAATTCTAAATTTATTTATATGCCGGAAAGTTACAATCAATTAGTCTTTAGAAGTGCAAAAAAGTCTCTGACTATTATAAGCCTCTCAGTTAGGTTGGAGCTATATTTGATATCTAAATCGTCGCATTATTGATTTGATATACCTGAAGTTTCCGTTTGGGTCATTTTCTATTCTTATTGTTATTATATTAATTGCTGAATAAAGCATAGAGAAGAGAATGAAATTGATGTTTATGGTTTTGCTAATGATTTCAGTTGGAGATTCAAAATAAACGTCTGTGAGAGGTTAAGAAGACTTTGGTTTAGACACATAACTTTACCGCTTGAAAATTGCAGTTTTACAATGTCGAAGAATTTAATTTTATTATTATAACGATGCGTGACTACTCAAACCCCGTAGGAAGATAGAAAAGCCATAATTCAAAATTAGGTTTCGCTATTATGAAATCATTGTTAGGTTGAATAAATTTCAATTTTTCCCAATAATATAATGTTTGGGAGTTTTGAGCTGTCATATTTGGCTATATGATTGATTCAACAGGAAAATCTACCTACTAATACTCAACTTCAATCAGGTGGAAACATTTTTTCAGGGAATCATTCCAACCAAATGCAATGGAAAAAGTAGCATTCAATTAAATTGTGCAAATTTAACATTTTTTACGATTAATAATTTATAAACAAAGGTTAAGATAGAAAATTAATTTTGACATCTATGTGGGTTTTATGAAATCTTGCTGTTATTAGACAGAAAATTTCTGCAAATGAGAGTGACGCATGACAAACATTACTTTCAATCTTTAAAGAATTTGCACAATTTAACTGTTTCGGGTTTGCTTTTGAAAATCTCTTGGAAATTCTTCACCTCTTCTCACTGACTTTCGGTCTCTATGGTAATTTTTGGTGGTAGAAAGTGGGGAAGTGAAGACATTTTCAGAGAAATTTTCCATCGCTTCCTCACAAGGAAATGACTGATGATCGGTAGAACGAGTGCTGCCACAATTGACAAGAGAAGCCAGGCGAATTGGAAAATAACCTAAATTTAAAAAAACTCAATAAGCCAAATAAAAGTGCTCGACTCAATAAAAGGTAATCATGAAAAACTATATATCAAAATATGGGGTGTGCGATAGACTTACCTCCACGCGGTGGACCCTGGGCAACGTATACTCATACGGCAAAAAAGTCTATTAACCGGTAGTTGACTTCTGACTTCAAACTACCATGACCCCACTGTATGTTATATTCGACCACTTCCACAGTAATCATCCTACCTTTTCTCTGCCTTTGTGTCAGTCTCTTTTGCGACTGTAAACCACTCTTCTGTTCCCCATCCCTCGACTTTCTGTTACTTTGATGTTCCTTCCCCCTGTGAAGCACGAAGTCAGCTAAAGGGCTAATGATAACTATCAAAACGCCTGCCATTTGAAATAAATAAATATATCAAAAGATAATGAATAAGAATGGTATTAAAATTTCAAAACTATTTAGACACGTTGACGATGAATAAGTGATGTGTTGTTTTGGTAAAGATAATCCAGTGACTGCTTACCCATGCTCTGAAGTCAGCCAAAGTGAAAATGGCTGGAATACATCCAAAACTCAATAGGCTAATGATAATTCCAAAGTAAACTCCGTGTCCTAAATAAGCCGAAAACCTAACTTGTCTCATGGCTTTCATGACATCTTCCGAGGAAATATGCCCGATAGTTGAAAGAGGAAACTGGAAAACCCTAAGAACAAGAAAGTATATTTTAATTGTGGCTTACTGTGAATAAATTCGGGTCCAAGGCTTAACCGGATTTCCGAGGTCCAAAGTGCGTTGCCAAGTCAATTCAGGTTTTCTATCGTCTAAGTGAGATTTACTGCGCAAAGGTAAGAACGCTATAAGCACAGGCAGGATGAAACCACTCACAAGACCAACTCCGCAGGCACAGACATTAATTACGTCTTCACCTGTAAATAAAATGCAAATGAATTATCTTTACCTAGTATTTCAATTTTACCAATTTCGTGGTTAAACAACCTCCTTTTTTATTAGTCTTAATGCGATTTGCCATAATTGAAGTGTTTTGATGGGGAATAATCAATAACATGGTGTGTATGCATGAAGAGTTTAGAAATTCGGTCAATTCGTGAGTCATGTTAAATAAGAGATTGTAAAATCGATATTTTGCTTAAAGAAGAAAACAATTCGATTGACAGCGTTATTTAGGTATGTCAGCAGTTGCTTAGGGCACTTTCTCCCTAAGACAACGAAAGTGGCAAGCCAATAAACAAGCAAAATTACCCATTTTGAACGAAGTATGAGAGTCAAGTAAGTAAAGAATTGTCCACATTATTATTGCAAGAAGAGAACTTGTCAACGTTCCAATAAAAACGGCAGGTTCTGTTAACTTCTCCCAGTACAGAGCCAAGATAAAGCTACCCAATGCTCCGATATTGCAGCTCTTCGGTACTTCATTGAAGATCAACCCAAATATCTAACGAAAAAGAAAAGCGGAGCAAATCGATTCGGTTTTCTTTTAAGTCTCTTTAGTTATCCCTCGTAGAGGTTAATAAAAATGTCTGAGGTATGTAGAACACTATTGCAATTCATAACATTATTAGTCACCCTTTTAAGTTAGACAATAGGGTTGTTTAAGAAGTAAGTTTTACAAATGACTCATTTGCTTAAGCGACAATATGCATTAGCGACAACTGGTAATGGAATTTACTACAAATTTTGTCAAAATTGACAATGAAGCCTTCAAAGTAAATTTGTCATAAGCTTCAAGTAAATGGACTCAAAGCGGAGGTACTTTACCATTAGTCAATTAGTTCAAAATAAAAGGAAAGAAAGCGGGAACTTGCCCCAAAGTAATTTATGATAAGTCCCACTGGAACAATGCCACAAAGCACCAAAAGCACTGAGGTTCTGTGAATATTCCTCAAGGCCTTGTTGTATTTTAAATAAAGACTGTGCACAGGACAGCTGATTTTATAATCCTGATGCCCAGCTTTTTCAGCTCTAAAAAATATTTTGGTTGAAATTACACTTCTGTAGTTTACAACTACGTCACATATAACAGCGTTTACTTTGTATCTTCCTGACAGTGTATACATTCTGCGGGATCGCTACATTGGCAGGTATCTTTTGGTCGAGTTTGATCGTCTTTAGATTTACCGCAGAATGTACAGCAATTGACATCATAACAAACTCTGAAGGGCTAGCGAAAAGAAAATGGTCATTGATTTACTATTTAGCCTACCCTCAAATGAACGGCGTAAAAATCCATTGTTAACACTTTTGTAATCGAAAGTGTTTTTAGAGTTGTCCCCGTAGTTACCGTAAACGCGTAAAGGGAGAAGAGAACAAAGAGACCATTTTCGCCCATTAGGGATTTTGCAACATCCACCATTGATGCCGCTAAATGGAAAACGAATCTGCTACTTATTTAGTATTTAGTAGAAAGATAGTGTTTTCGATGCTTACTCTCAAGGGAGGTATAGTTGGTAGACGTTTGAAATAATAGACTTCCGAATCCAAAACCCATACCGAATACGAGAGGAAACGGGCACCAAATCAATATTGCTAACAATGTGCCCCAACCTTCTTCTCCTGGCACAAAGCAAGCATATGTATCCCATATTGATTGGTCAAAAACCACCTCACATGTTTTAACTATAGAGAATTGAAATGTGGCTATGTTTTACCCAACAGTCTGCTTATGCCCAGCTTCATTGCCAAGTAGCTTCTCATAGTAAGATGTCCTGAGGATGGTTCCGTAATATCACTATCAGTGCGAACTGCAGCGTTGTAGACCTTGTCAAATGATCCTAGATAAAAAATAGTTTAAAATTACCCAGCTTCATACCGATGGTGTTTGTTGGGTCAAACATAAATACTTTGACAGCAATGACTACAGTGACAAGCTGAAAGTAGATGAACATCGTGTAGCTGAATGGAATGAGGTGCTTAACTGTTCCAACGGTTGCACATATATACGCTGCGATCACCGTTACAATCCATGCCAGTTCAAATGTCACATCAGCCGAGATTGCTGAGTAAATTTTGCATCCATCTGTTAATTAAGTAATCATAATAATTGAGTTTTTGAGCAAGTTTGACTGTACGCTTATTTAAAATCAGATTTTACAGTGTTGTGATAAATTTGAAAGAGCGGTGGCTGTTTTGTTTTTAATTGAAACACACAGCAGTTTATTTCATTGAAAAATGCATAAAACACTGCTCATCCGTTTTTTTATAAACAATTTCTACTAAATTTTAATTGGTAGTGGATATCACTAGGTAGCCTATTGATGTTGTGGCTCTCAGGTACATTTTTAAACCAATAGAAAGAGCTTAGTGTTTATAGACGCCTTTAATCTCTCTAATTGACAAACCTCAAGTCAAATTATCTCGGCAGAAATGACTTACTGTCAACTACATCAGAAATAATCGCCATGTTGTTGACAATTGTGAGACAACAGAAGAGTAAATGAACTCGCTTTCCAAAACGAGCGAGCAACAATTGTGGAAAAGTTCCACCACCTGGCGCCCTGGATTTGTATTGAGTGACCAAAATTCCCATTATGATTAAGGGCGTCGCTGCGCCAAATAAATACCAAATGGGTCCGGATAATCCGTGCTACAATACAAAATTGTAAAACCTTCTCCTTCAAATCATTATTCGTACCATTTAGGATATATTTTCGTTTTAATTAATTGAATTTCACTTTTAATTGTAATTATAGGTAGTCGATTAACCAATAAATCAATATTACCTGAGCAGCTGCGTAACTGCTGACCGTAAGTGCTGAGGCTCGGGTACAATGCATTGCTAATGCGACTGCCGTAATCCCGAAATTAGGGAATATTTGGATATCGGTTTTAGGCCACAAGATTAAAAATTAGGTAATTATTGTTAATTGACACCAGTTTTGCATGAAATATTTCAATTTAAATGCAATATACACTGAAAGAACATTATGGAAATACTCACTTGTTTAACAGTCTTTCTCTTGAATATCAATATGATAAGATTAATGAAAAGCAACATGACAGGATAGAAGAGAATCAACAAGAAGGCATCAACCCATTTTAGTGACATTTTGACAGTCACAAATGTGAATGGGAAACTTATTTGGGCATCAGAAAACTCCATTTAAATCATTTCGATTAGCCAATAAGATAAAGCCGTGATTCTCAGTCCAATTGGTTACCTTAATTTTCATAAAGGCGTTTTCATCTAAAAGCTGAGAAAAAAATTGATCTTGAGTTTCACGCATTTTCAACTTCGTTGGAATAAATGCCATTATACTTTCTGAATTATAAGAGTATTTAGATAAAATATAAGAAACAATTGCAATCTAGTTATTTTACAAATTGTTCTTGAATTCACTTAAACGTATTTGGGAAATAATTATTTAACTTATGTCCTTAATTTGCATGAAATCCCGTTTCGAGAAATCCCAATTGCAATAATGAAATTACGAAGTTATTGATATATGATCATTGGCCCGTTCATATAAATCGCATCATAACTCCACCCTTAAATATCTTAATTAAGCTGTTTTATTGTCTCCTAAATAAAAACAGGACTCTCCATCGTGTCATTGAACCATTCCAATTTTTTTCTTCAAACTATTTGGTCGAACTCTGGTGAAATCTGCTATTCAGCCCCTAGATAAGCTTTTGATAATAAAATAATAAATGAACTTTTAACTTAAGAGCACAATGATCTATATTTCCACTTGCTAAAAAAGAGGAATAACTCAAAGCATTCAGAATTCCGATAAAAGGTTTAAATATCTGCGTCCATCATCCCTATTCGGTCATTCATTTTGATTTCTTCATTTTCTCAGCGTTTAGGTACCTCCTCTCTACCAAAACGTTATTTATTTGTTTCAAATGGCAGGCGTTATGATAAGTATCATTAGCCCTTTAGTTGACTTCGTGCTTCACAGAAAGGAAGAGGAACACCAAAGTGGCAAAAAGTCGAGAGAGGGGACAGAATAATGATTCACTGACATAAAAGAGACAAACAGACACAAAGGTAGAAAAAAGATGAGTACTGTGGAATTAGTAGAATATGAAATGCGGTGGGGTCTTGGTAGTTTGAAGTCAGAAGTCAACTGCCGATTAATAGACTTTTTTGCCGTATGAGTATACGTTGCCCAGAGTGCACCACGTGGAGGTAAGTCTATCGCACAATAGTATCATTCATTCCTTGATAACAGTTTCCCATTATCGAGCAATTCTTTATCAGTTTAAATGAAGTTACTCTGATGTTATGCGCTATGAATGTTGTTCAGCGCCTTGGCAATAATAATGATAATGGAAAAAGTTTCAATCCCGGGTGACGCCACTATTTAGTCCTACTTGCCCCAAAACTATTCTATTTCTTAATGGTTTGGAACATTATTTCCACTTAATGTTAAGTTTTTCAAATAAATGGCTTGGGAAGAAACTGGTTTTGGGTGGTTATTTTGTTGAATTCACAAAACTCGTGCACGCAATCAATTTCCCTCCTTAGTGGCGTGATTTTAAGCCAAAACTCATAAACAATTGTGTTATCTAATTCACTTCACTTCGGAATGAACATGACCATATTAACTTAATTTTTAATAAACCACCATTAAAATCAAATGCTGCCAATATGACCGCCACCTAAACCAAAGGAACTCCATTTCAACAGATTGCTCATAAAGCTCATAACATAGTGAAGAAAATTGGGATAATTTAATACAATAAAATTCTGATTAAAATGAAAAAAATCTATTGGGAGTAACCAGAACCTTCAATACAGCAAATTTTGATTCATTGACATTTGCACATATTCCATAAAGCATATAGAATACAGCGTCAAGTGCTAACGTTTCAGAAACCTTATTAATTATAAATTGTAAATTAAAAAGAATTGGTTCGTAGTTCAGTAACTTTATGGCAAATGAAGAAGTTTCTCGTTCATCCAACCATTTAGTTCGCTTCAAATCGATTTGTTGGTTGAAAACTAGTAGTCATCTTTTAAAAAAATTTGACCTCAAGATCTTGAAGATCACCTTCTTCAGGAAAATCAATATCGGCCATTTTCTAATGAAGATTAAATTGTTTGGTGATATGACACTCATTTTCATTTCAACTGCAAATTCATCCTGTACTGGTTGCTATTCCAAACGAGTCAGCCACTAATAAAGTTGAAAACTTCCCATCAAGCCATCTTATTTGTATATATTTTTTTAATTTGTGGCACTTTGCTAAAGGTCCCCACTTCAATGGCATACCATATTTCAGCTTTTCAACTTGAATAAAATATTGCAATCTTCCTAAAGTATTCGCTTAAATTTCTAGAAAACAGTTATTCTTTTACAAACGCTGTTCCCATTAATTAATGACGGTAAATGATATTGGTATCAAATGAAACTTGAAATAGCTAGAGAAGACTTATTTATTTTCATCACACAAAAGATACCATTTTTAAATTTATTTCGCACCTTTTCACAATCATTTTTTGACTTTCATTTAAGTAGAGATTAAGATGAAGATTTTGAAGATTATTACACGTAGTGCTCAATTATGAATTTCGATGCTAAAATTGGACCCGCACCTATTCCAACAGCGTATAATGTAAGTAAAGATACTATACCCCTTTTTCTGAATTTATATGTATTCTAAAGTTCGAATACTGGCTCGAAGTATCGTTCATATCTTAACACTTTTAGTTGTCCATTTGCACAAATTTCAACTATTCTTTTTAATTATACCAACTTTAAGCGCCATGGTTTTAAAGGGCTAACCTCAAGCCCGACCTACAGTCGATTACCATTTTTTAGTAAGCGTGCTCCATGAAGGCATTGACAAAATCTGATCCCCACTACAGAACGTATTCAGTCTCTTTCGACCTCTACCATCGCAGTTGGAGTTTAGCTCTTCTGGAGTGGTGCCTTAACCACACCAAACAATCAGTTGGAAAACGCCTGCTGCACTTCTATTTAGGTATAACATAGAGAACATGTTTATTTTACCACGGAAACGGATGAAAAATTCTGAATTTCAAATTTCATTACATTTGTCTGAGTTGTACAAAAAATGCACACTTTTGAGCTGATAATCCCATTAACAAAATTTATGAATTTATCCAATTTTCCACATAAAAGTATCAAATAAAATTTCTTTATGGTCCTCTCACATTGTAAACCTACTGTTTGTAGCTTAGTGTTTTGATGACACTTACTGTTTTCTCTCGTTTTCAAGGTTGAAAAAGTACAAGAAACCTCATTCCCAATTAGCTCCATTTGTCGAACCCCTACCCCCCCCCCACCCCCACCCCACGTTCCACTCTAAATGAGAAGTTATGCTAGGCAAATCATTATTTCTAGAAAATTGGTATTAAGAGAAAAGGAACTTCAATGACGGTGGTTGAGTTAGGATAAATTTCGAAGATGATTCAGATGAGAAGTAAGAGCAATATCTCATAAATTCTCCAAAATGATCTAAAAGAAAAGAACAAAGAATTTTAGAATAAACTTCTTTAATTTTAACTGGGGGAGGGGGAGTAGAGATATTACAATGTAACCCACACCCTTTGTTATCTGATATTATACTCAATTTGGTAGGAGCCTGTAATTAGGACGACCTAAATAATTCAACCGACTTTGAACTCAGCTGCAATTTTCTTCCATGTTCGCCTTCATCACCAAAAGCCATAGCCTTTTAACCTGATAAAATATATTATGGTCAACAAAACTTGGCAGAGTTTCTGGAAAATGCCAACAAACACGTGACTTGTCTCTGTTTATTTTAACCATTTTTTATATGAATTCTTGACAAAAAAATCATAACAGAATGTAATGCCCATTTAAAGGCGGCAGATGAACTTTTTTAGAGTTATTTAATATTTTGCACTGCGCTCACTGGTCCTTGAGACAATCAATATCAACTATTCCGCAGATCAATGGCTCCAAGTCTTCACTGATGGGTCATACATAGAAAACCAAGCAAATGTTTGTGCAGGTGTCTATTCTGAACTCTTCTCTTTCTACGCAGCAGTGGGGCACAATAGATCCGCTTTCGAAGGAGAAATAGAGGCCATTAGGACAGCACTATGCCAATTATGTTGCCTGGATGCGAAATTCACCAAAGCGGTGATACTTTCGGACTCACAGTCAGCAATAAACTCAATTGGAAACAGAGAGCCAGAGATAGAGATAAAGGAATGTAGAAAACTCTATCAGCTGCTGAGAGAGAAAAGCAAACCTGTGGTCCTACAATGGATTCCTGGTCACTGTGGCATCAAAGGCAATGAGCTTGCTGATTCACTTGCTAAGAAGGGGACAACGATTTTGCAAATGCATGGACAGGCCGATGTCTTTCCACACAATGAAGGCCTTAATCAGGAGAGAATTCCATACCTCAAGGTGCAACGAACTTAAAGCTCGAACAAAGGAGAAACAGTGGACAGTTGCACTCTCCGATATAGCCGACTGGCCAAGAATCGAAGTCGTTGCTGAGTTCAGACTACGTACCGGACACGACTGCTTGGCAAAACATCTTCACAGATTAGGAGTATACACTCAACCCACATGCCCTCTATGTAACCTACAGGAGGAAATGGAGAAGACCCACCTGATTCGATGTCCAGCCCTAAAGACAACGACGGAAAGCCAGAGATACTGGGAAGCAAGAAGACAGCTAATGAACTGCTATTAATTAACTGCTATGTATGTACCCCCTCACCCTTGGGGGAAGCTGAAGTCGAAGTTTAGGGGCTAATGATAATATCATAAAGTCTGCCATTTGAAATAATAATAATATTTTGCAGTACTTTAAATACGAAATG